AGCTACGAGTATATTTTCACATTGTTTGCGAAGGAAATATTTACAGGACGCCATAAGATTATCCACAACGTGTGAGATACGTTCGTAGAACTCCTCCGTTATTTCTTACATAAAGGGTGTTTATTATATTTGTTTTTTTATATAAAATATACTTGTATTTAATATGTAGCATTTCCCGACTTAGAAAAGCTTGATGAAAAACAACATGTACACATTTAACCCGTGGACTTAAAAAGGCAAACAGAGTTTAATTGAACCTGCAGCTAATCTATGAACAGACGGACTAATCGCTTCCGCAGAAGAAATGGGAACAATTGATATCTTTTCTAGGAACACTTGTTTTAAACTTCAGCTGGACGAAAATATATTGTTTTTTTTTTGTAAATGAAAAAAAACCTTAACAAGAACAATTTACAAGATAAAAAATAGTATTTTAAATTTGGCAATTATTGGTACATTCTTTGGTTATATTTACTATGAAAATGTAGAAAAATTACTGTTATTTACGCAAGTAGTAAACATTTAAAGAAAATTACTTTTAACGGTTCGAATCGCAAAATATATTGGTTGGGTTTCGGATACTTTTAAAAAGCCATGTTATTGGGACGGAATGAAAATGGAGGGTGTCGCAAAAGCCAAAGTCAAACCTGCTACGTTAGCGCCATTTGTTTCGTTAAAAATAAAGTAAATAAGTTAACAAATATTGTATATCGCCTCTGAACCGTTAAGTGTTTTATTTAAATGTATAAATGGCTTTTCGTTTTTGACTTTAGTATGGGGTCCCATACGAGTAGCTTAGTCTCAACTGCCCAGAAACAGCCTCCCAATAAATAAAGTGCGAAGTAAATAACGTCGAAAGGGTCCGCTGCAAACTGCCAAGTCAGCCTGTTTACAGCGGCGTCTGTTTCAGAAGGGATTGACTTTTTTCGCAAATCACTCTGTTATTGAGTGGTTTGGCTTAAATGGTCTCCCTTCTGGGTGACGCACGTGACTTTTCTTAGTAATTTTCATATTATTTTTGTGTTTATATTAGTTTTAAAATGTTTTATTTTTTTTAATTAAAACTAAAGCCCATAAATATGCCAATAGCGCATCTTGTCAACGCGTTATATGGCTGACGTATTTCTCCCTCCGTCAAGTACGCCCATGCGTATCTGTCCTATTCTATCGTACAAAAAAGAAAGCCGAAGAAACAAAAAAGCTTCAATCATGCAATTTTAGTTATTTTTTGCCGCAGCAGCCGTGGTCACGGGGAGACGTCGAAAATAATTTTCAAATAAGTTTGACTAATATATCGCGTTTTAAACCGTTAAAATGTTCTATTTAAATGTGTAGGTACTACTCGCGTAAACTATAGACAGTATTTAATTTGTTTATTGTCACAGTAATTTTAAAGTCTCTTTTAGTACGAGCACATCGGACGCTTCGGGATCAATTAATTTCAAAGATTCCTCAAAATAAATTGGATGCCGTCAATTATTATTTTGGGAAAATTGAAATTTCGGGAAGTGGACCGAAGAAATTACTTTTTAGTTTCACGGAATGAGATATTGAGAGCTTGAGGGACGAATTAAGTTGTCACAAGTAACATTCTCGAAGACGTCTCTTATTGAATTTTGTTAGCTTCAAATGTTTTTAAACTTTTGTCGTGTTTTAAATCTATCTATACTAATATATAAAGCTGAAGAGTTTGTTTGCTTGTATGCGCTGATTTGCGGAATTACTGGTTTGAATTACAAACTATTCTACGCGGTCGAAGACACAGCTAGTGGTAACATATAAATAATGACGAAACTAAATATAAGAAAAGAATTCACGAAAACCTTCAGTATTTCAGTATTAAATACTTTTGGATTAAATAAAATACTTGCAAAACTCTTGAATGTAATGTTGGAAATAACATTTTACATTTTAATCGGTAGTGCGAACAAGTTTAGCCATTTCACTGGGAAGAGTATTAGGTCGACAAGTTGTTAGGTTTCCAGCTATTTTATAGCTTCGCAGAAATTTGAATCTTACGCTCGGGTACTATGGTTGAGAATCCCACGAATACATTTCTGGGTTCAGTAAAGTGCTGACGAGACCGGGGTAATGTTTACATACGTATGTTTTCGAGGACGAGGAAGTTTCTGTGTACACACGGGCGCGTTCTCGATCAACTCTCCGGTTATTATCTTGAAAGTTTGTTTTTCAACGAAATTTTAGCGGCTGTAGTTGATATGTTTATAATATTTCGACGCGCGCCTTACTTCAAAGAGTTTCGTATATTCTTTTTAGATTTTCTAATTTTTACTGTCTTTTTTGCTGTAATCTTTACAATTGTGTTCCGGGACGTCCTGATACAACGGTCCAACAGAGTAGAGTTGTGAAAAATGCTGTACAGCTTCTTGCAAATGAGCGCTTTTCTTAACAATCGGAGTTTTTACACTGTTACTTGTATTTTTATGTAGAGACTTTATTTATTTTTTATAAAATGTTATAATGGTATTAGTGTCTTCAAAAACCAATTGTGTCTTAAATTTCATCACATCGATTTTCAACGGTTTTTTTTTTTTTTTTTAACAATTGCCTAATTACAAATTTCTTTAATTTGAAAGAATTTTGAAGTGTTTGAAAACTTTAATATTTTCACATACAGTTTTAGGTATCTTTAACCGTTTTCGTAGCGTACACGTCTGAAACCTACAGAGATGAAAAATTTCCCCCGTTTTGATCACATTTTCGCTGTATCTGTAGATTCTCTAACCAACAACATAATTTTTCAATTCGAACCCGTACTTCTTGAGCTTAGCTTAGCCTTCAAACAAACAAACAAACTCTTCAGCTTTATATATTAAGTATAGAAAAGTACAGATAAAAGAAATTCGTTAATTACGTGTGCCTCGTGGTACCAACGCTGTGTATGCTGCTTCAATTTCCGTCCATGTCATTTATTGTATTAAAAACCGTGTAAGCGTGGAATATCCAAGACGAATGCAAAAAATTTGCATAAGATAAACCAGTGTCGTTTCTTACCGGTTAAGGATGTCAAAATTGTATTTATTTACGTAAATTACAGAGATTTGAGGGGAATGCGAGCTATTCCCGTCCTGCTTGGAATTTTAATGAAGGTACACCGTACACACGATCCCATACGGCCCAACATTCTTTGCACCGCGTTTTGTGGCGCCTTTGTCAATTTCAAAGGCAATAACGCCTAATGAATTTTAATTAAAAACTTGTAGGCGTTCTCGCTCGGTTGCTGTTGTTTTGTGTTTCGTTGTTTCTTTACATCCTCGAAGAATTCTTCAATGCACTTGTGATGTCTTAATTATTTTTAATACTCGACGCGCTATCTCAGTCCTTAAATTTTTTAAGTTCAACTTACACTGATGAAATAAAAGTCAAAGAACTTATATTATTGTTTAGTATCACGCTTCGTTCCATGCTCCATGCTATCATGATCTTGGGGTTCGTACTTAAAAATTAAACATTTATTATCATATGCAAGAGCTAAAGTCCCAACGTACCAGAGGGACCTAATCTTCTTTTAGAAATGCCGTTCTTAGCTCAAAAGAAGTAATTTTTTCCTTTTTAACTTTTTCGGTTACTTCGGCTTGTTCGTGTTGGAAGGTTCTGTATTTTTGTCGGTTTCGGAATACCTAGGTTCTGTTCAATCGCTCTTTCACCTCAAACATTTTAAATATTATTTTTTGTTCACGTGTATAATATTAAAACATGTTTCTTATATCTGTTAGTTAAAATTAACCGCATTTTATATCTTTTGCTTGATGTATTATACTATAATAATAATAATGGCATTACACGCTTATCTGAAACCGCTGGGAAATTCTCATTCGCTTGCATTACCTTGTAAATTATGAAAATAAAAACTTGGAAAACTCGTTTAATACTTAATGAATATTTAATTACAACTCGCTAAGTTGTTTTTCCTGGAAATTGTGCAATTTACTCGCGAAATGGACATTTAAAAAAGTTTTTATCCGAAGTACTAAATACTGTCTGTAGTTTACGCGAGTAGTACATTTAAATAAAACACTTTAACCGTTTAAAACGCGATATATATTAGTTAAACTGATTTGACAATTATTATGTTTCCGCATTACAACTGCTGCTGCAAAGCATCCGAAACGTCGGGCCATAGTTAAAATAATTTTGAAATAAGTTTAACTAATATATACATCGCGTTTTGAACCGGTAACGTGTTTTTATCCCAAGCACTATTTTATTTTGTAGATAGTCGTTTAAATACAATACAAGTAGAGCCGGTTCGAAGTCGCAGTAGCGCTCTTTACTCTCTGAAATTATCTGCAGCGATGTAAAAATAAAAGTTGCATTGTTTTATGCTAACAGAAGGAACGATATTTGCGCCATTAAAGACATCCGTTTCAAAGGAATTCTCGATAAAAGAGTCTTCATTGAAAAATGTGTCGCAGTCACGAGAGCGCCTCGGAAATATTCCGCGACTTTTAACATTTAATTTTTCAGATTCTCCACGAGTTCGGGCGCTTCCTCTGATATTTTTAATAAATTTGAGCTCACACAAAGCTCTTAAAGAATACAGCTCTCAAAGCTTAATGCGAAGGTTAAATGTGTAATGTAGCCGAGTTCTGTAACGCGGCACCGTTTAATTGAAATTCTCAATGGCTTTAACTTTATTGGGCGTCTCAAAGACGAGAACGCGCTTCGGCTCTTGGTATTGCACTCTTTGTGGGGCTGTGGTGTCTAGTCTTGCATAACCGCGAAACATCAACTTATTTGTGCTTGCAAGTCGCGTGATTTGACTCACTGTGCATTCCGTTTGTACTGAGTTCGACATAACATCATAATTAGAGGGTAGTTTTGCTTAACCGTAAAGATAAGAAAGTAGCGCGTGCTGGTAGGCGCTTTGAGGGCTCAAACACATAAACACGTTTCACGATACGACGTCGCGACGTGGAATTCTACGACACGACGTCGTATCGTGTCGATGCAGGACGTCGGGACGTTAGAAACTCGCTATGAAATCCTGCGCAGCAGATATTCAAAATTCAAAGATGAGGGATGCTATTGAAGTCGATCATTTAATTACCCTAGTCGAGCAGCGTTCCGTACTATGGGACAAAACTTATAAAGAATACAAGAATAAAAATGCAAAAACAACAGCATGGAAAGAGGTCGGCATCGTGCCGTGTCTCGAGCGTGGCATACGTAGATTTACACGATGCGACATCGTATCGTGATACGACGCAACGTGTTTATGTGCGGGAGTCCATATATGCCGCTATTATATGAATAATTCTAATTTCCAAAGATTTTGAAATAGTATGATTATAATGTCCGCGAGTCCAGTGCGTTATTAAAATGAATTAATCATTGTAAATTCAGTGGGCATAGTGAAATAAATGTATACTAAACCCCCTTTGTTTTTTAATATAATTATATTGCCTTTTATATGGGCGCCCTTTACTCACAGACACAACCAAATTGATACAGACAAACACACCACAATAATAGTGCAATTAAATTAGAACAACCACTGGTATGTAGTTATTGAGAGTGTTTAGGTTTATGTTTTAAAGTGTGTATCGACATTTTTACCATTTCTGTGATACAATATAAACGTGGCATATTCAACTATTTTTAACGTAATTATTGCGTTTGCGGACCACATTGTGGACTCTAAAATCTTGCTTAAAGTCACTACGGGGCGTTTTTTATGCGAATAATTTTTATGTTTTGTAATCATATCTACATACTAGCTGCCAGCGACTTCGTCTGCTAAAATATCATTAAGAAGATTATTTATTTTGGACATCCAAATTTGTTTTTGCAAACTCCTTCTTCTTTATAAGCTTACGTTGTTACCCACGATGTCAGCCGCGTCCAGTCCCGTCTTTTTTACAAGTTAATCTCAGAAGATAGACATATAGCGTAGGGGACTTATTTTTAGATTATTTAAAGAGAAATCAATCTCTCATACATATTTTCATCTAGCAGTTTTTGCAGCGTACGCGTCGGAATCCCATAATGATGAATAATTTCCCAAATATTTCATATTTCCCGCTGTATCTTCGCTCTTATTAGTCACAGGCCAATGTTTTATAGCCTTCCTCGATAAATGCTTTAACCAACACAAAAATATTTTTTTTCAACAAACTCTTCAGCTTTATATATTAGTATAGATACATGGTAGTATGTTGATATTTTTAAATAAAACACATTACGATTTCAATCCAACATATATTAATTAACTCAGCCCGACGCGGGGGTCCGAGGTTTCTAAACGTAACATCAACTTATTGGAGCTTAATTTGATTTATTCTGCGCATGCTACATCTGAGCATGATATTTCAGACCTATTTTTGAAGAAAGTACTGTGCGTTTTAAAGTACCATTACGATTATACATGTTTTGTAGCATTGTATGTTGATAGTTAAAGCCTCCTACATTTTCTCGCCTTGTTCATCCGTGTCATGGGAAATAAAGGAAAAAGTTAAGATATATTGTGTGGGGTTTTTACAATATAAACACCCGGAGACGGATATTAATATAGAAAGGTTAGGCGCGTTCTCTCGAGAGCGGCGACGGCGGAGGGCGCAAGTAATGATCTAATGGTTGGTGATGGAGGGTAGTTAAATCAAAGTAGTTTTAATAACATAAAATACATATAAATACGTGTTGCTTTTTTGTACTTGCGCTCAACGATAGTAAATTTTTGACCAAAGCTAAAAGTAAAAAACCTCTAATGTAATTAAAACGAACTTGCGTTCTTATTTCTAACCTTTCTGGCTGTAGCTTATCTATTAAAAATAATAACATCAGTCCTCAGCACATTTGACAAAATACAGTCGACAAACCTTTGACGAATATTGTATGAATAAAAACATTATGAAAGCGATATATGTACTTAAACACACGAGTCGTTGTTAATAGATACATTTTAAAAAGTTCTTTATGCATCTTCTTTTATTAACTAGTTGTGGCAGCGACTTCGTCCGCGTAGAATAGTTATTTTAGGCATCCAAATTTGCTTTTGTAAACCGTTTATCCTTAAAAGTTTATGCTGTTATCCACGACGTCGGTCACATCCCGTCGTTCTTGCAATTAAATCTTAAAAGATAGACATATAGTGTTACGGACATTTTTCGCAGCATACGAAACGAAAATCCATAAAGCAGAATAATTTTCCCGCTTTTTTTTCGCTGTTTTCTCGCAGCCTTCGTCGATAAATGATTTAGCCAACACAAAAATAATTTTTCAATTCGAACTATTAGTTCCTGGGATTATCACGCTCAAACAAACGCTCACACACGCTCTTCAGCTTTATATATTAGTATAGATATACAATTTTCATAGGATACTACTATACATTTAAAAAATAAGCGAAAATAATGTGCAGTCTGTCGCTCTTGTAAAATTGTCGATAAATAAATAGAAAAAGTCCCGTGGGCGACGCTTAGCGCAGATCGCGAGTCGTGAGGATCTGAAAGAAATACATTTGCGCAAATTGAGCGGCTTATCCGCTCAAATAAATCGCTGCTCTGAAAAACGTCCCGTTTATTGATACGAAAATTTGATATTTGTTTGTAGGCTTACTCTCTTAGCCTCGGTGGCCGATGCGAAGTAGTTTAAAGCATATATTCCACAAATGAATCGTTTGTAAACTGTAAACAAAATTATACGGTTACAAAGTTTAAACTCCCTTTGACAAAAAATATCAAACGTTCTCTCTCGCGCTGCGCAGAAATTAATTCAATTTAGATGCAGCTTGCGATAACAAAGGTAAACACTAAAATTCTACATGGGAACATTTAGATTTTTGAGACAACAGTAGCGTATAATGAGAATTATTTTCGCGAGTCCTAACCTTTCCTTTTAAGCTCTTTGTTTGTTTGTGTGAACATAAATTTGACATATTATAATAATCTCGTACAGTGTGTCCAATCGACTTTCTTCAGAAATAATTTTAATAAAATTATAGTATCTTTAGAAAAAAGGAAACTCATAGCTAGAATAAAAAATGAACTTTGTTTGTGCTAGAACTCCTCCATGGCCCAGAGCTATAGAGCAATTTCGTTTCGGAAATTGCTCTGTGTAACGCGCTTTTTCGGAGCCAGTTAAAAGTATATTTCAATAGTTTGGTTTGGTGAGATAAAAGCCACAAATCTGAGCTCAGAGCCGCGCTCCATCATACTCGAGCCAATTTATATCCAATAAAAGGTGGTGTTTGAGTGAAAATTCGCGATTCTCCATTATTGTAATTTAATATACTACTGAAACAGTTTTAGGTTAACGAGTACCAAACTAACTTAGTATTTTGTTTTAACATAGACGGACCGAGAAGTCAAACTTAAATATTGTACCGATACAAAAAAAGTAGATTTCCTAAAAGAACAAAAGGATCTGAGTGTGATATGACATTAGTGTAACGCGCAGTAATGTAAACTCATTTAACTGTATGAACCGAAAGTTATGTTATTTATTAAGTAGTAGTAACACCCATGTCGGTATCGTTCGTAAAATTCGATCGAGAACCTTAAAAATTCGCCTGGATCGTTGTTAGCGGCTCATAAATCGCGTCGTAAAAGGATGTATAAGATATTGTAGGTAATTTTATTGAAAGTGCACCCTGGGAGCACAAATTGCTATCTCGAAAGAATTTTCCTTTACGTTACCTTGTATTGGCACCTTTCATTTAATTTGCGATAGTGCCGCCATCTATGGCCGGGTGCGATAAATCTAATTTTTGGGTTGAATCGAAATATTAACCTGGAAGAGTGTTACGTTCTACCCGTTTTTAAGGATTATTGCGTCACAAAAAAGCAATGTAAAACCACACATCGGCCAAAACACAATAGACACTGTAAATTTTTTACTTAATTTGAGCAAAAAAGTCCTCTATTGTTTGAGGATGAGCTGAAAATTCAGCTGTTATTACAGTTTGTCCCACTTTCGTGTTTTCCTATTCCGGTCAAATCCCCTGGCTTTCAGAGGACTATCATCGTATTATTTTTGATAAATAATCTAGGTACGAGTATTAATGGTACATTTAATACACCTTGCAATTAATTTAAATCTCTACAGCTAGACTTACCTTACAGACTTCTTTCTCCACGATGATTACTGTACTTACAAATTAAATATTATTTCTCATTCAAACAAGTAAAAGAAAGAAAAAAAATAAAGGTAGTTTGCGCAATACGAGTTGCCGAGTTCGCGGAATGTCACTTAAATTTACCTAACTTAGCTGGAGACACGTTATTTCTGGCTATTGAACGGAGTGCTATGAAAGAATACATAACTATTCAAGTAATGAGAGACAAAATTACGATGACTTCTTTCCAAACAAAAGATATCTTTTTTGCAAACTATATTTACGAGACTATAAAATGTGTACAAAAATAATACTTATGTGTCAGTAATAAGGGCTCAAATACGTAAACTTGTTAATGCATGTCCCACCCTCTCTCGCCTCCGTCTTATTCGCGCAGAAGGATAAAAGCTAGGTTGAACAATGTTTGAACTGAACATGACTGAAAATCACTTGAAAACACTTGCCGTTTCTTCCGATGTTTTCCATGTTAGATTATAAAGTTTTCCCTCACTCCGCTCCAACTTACGTTCACATGTTTGGGAAATAAACTTTTTTACTTATTGAATGTAGAGTTTTTCGAGATTAATGATGTTACAAAAGTAATTCCCATTCCCTATTAGAATATTTTTTGTGATAGAGGAGGACGGACACGCATGGGTTCACAAGATAATAGGTGAAATACTCCCGGCCTACCATCTAAACCAGATGCATTGTCGACCTATTTTGACTTTGGATATTCGGAAATCCACAAACTGAGATTGAAACGCGATTAAACTTAAAAGATAAAAGAAAAATATTTGTGGATAGAGCTGTCGTGGTTTCTGACGCGGACGGAATTTCGATATTCCTACCACATATTTAATATCCAGATTTCCAGACGAAGTCCAATATGTTTCAGTAAAACTATTAAGTGATTAGAAAAATGTCGGACCCAGTGGGGATCGAACCAACGAACCTTTGATTAATTATCAACCGTATATTGTTTTTCCAACACCAACGAGCCCGCTACGAGTATATTGACGTAATTGAATTAATCTGTGGAGAAGAGCATTAGCTAACGCACTTTTAACAATAGCTAATTAAATTGTTAATTATCATACTTCGGTATAAAGAAACGAATTGAGACCAAAATACCATTTCTGCTCTTCACTAAGATTACTTCCGTTGTTTATGGCGATTCTAAAGAAACAATATTTTTTTAATATTGTCTTTTGATGTTCACGGCTCCCAGGGCGAGAATTACGATAAGATAACATTTATGAAATATCGCTACCGAAGCCTTTTCGTTACAATGGAATAAAATCAGACGCAGTTGTCAATGAAAAAATGTTTCACATTGTTATATGAATTTCGGTGTTTTCAAACTAAGGCAGCCATACATTTTCTGGTCTGCCGTAGATAAAGGTCACTCGTTAATAAGAGCATTGTTGATTCAGGTCAAAGCGAATATATTATATTTGTTCAGGCCACAGAGCTGAGGCTTTTCATTTTTTTTTATTGTTACATTTAAAGTGGCCTTCTTTTTGTGTAATAGAAAAAGTTGAATGTTCCCTGTTTATTTGACTTCGCTCGGACGTTTATTATGGTGCAGGCTGAGGGTTCAGCTATTGAGTCAGGAAGTTGGTTATGTATGAAGTTATGATTTTATTTTGTAACCGAGTTGCAAATAAACATCTATAAATAAGGTGTATGGAAGTATCTTTTGCATGTGTAACATATTTTTTATGATAAAGGAGGACAGACAAGCATAGCATTCTGACTTTTTGACTTTGATATTCGAATGCATATGTACTTGTTTATGTATTTAAGTATTCTTTCTTGTTACAGGTAAGCAGTGAGATCCTTCTCGTAAATTTTAGTACACCGAACGTAAGTCCTTTCTATTATTTCCGATTCAAAAGTGGTTTTTACGTTTATTGAACTATGCCAAAGTGGTCCTTGTTCAATATGTCTAATAATATTTATTAAAAATACTTAACTTTGTTAAAAATGTAAATGGTCCTTCTTGCTATTGCTGCTGTGACAATATAAACTTTTTATTTTTGGTTGGATTTTTCCAAATTTTACCTTCATATAACCAAAATACATCTTAAGAAAATAATCCATGTTTGTGTATTTGAATTAACTAAAGTAAAACGAAGTTGTGAATTACGAGTGTACTGCATTTTGATTTATTAGTAAGAACATGTTTATAGTATGGGCGTAAACATACGCAAAAGATTTAAGAAAGAAGAAGTCGTTTGATTAAAAGGTGACAAATCCACGTGCCAACGAACTCTATGCTAGAAAACAAAATAGACGTTTTAAAGGTGAAATAATAGCAAATGGTGTCAAACCGAGGTGACGTAGACAACTTTGATTTTAGCTCTCCGATGTGGAGGCTGCAGTCCGGAAAGGATTCAATTTTCCAAATGATTTCATTTTAAACGTACCATACTGTTGGATGGGCTGATATTTTCACACACCATTTCATAGCGACTAAATAGTTAATGACGTGTAACTTTTCATGGTTAAATAAAATACTCTTAACGGGTTAAAACGCGAAATTGATTAGAAAACTTATTAAGCTAGCCGTGATTACGAAGGGACTGAAGATGGAGGGTGTCCCTAATGTCAAAGTCAAAACTGTTTCGTTAGCGCTATTTGTTCTATTGTAGTTGCTGTAAACGCTTTGTGTTTTCACTCGCACTTTTATAAAGTCTATTGACTAAGAAATAGTCTTAAAGGAAAGTCCACATATTTCTATTAATTCTGTACTCTACGTTTCTCAAAGGTCCTTATCATAATAAAATATTGTTTGTTTTCAATCACTCGAAACGGTAAATGAGGCGTAGATGTCAGATAACGTATGCTATAATGAAAAATAGGATGTTGATTAGGGCGCGTTCACAACGACTGGTTTTGGGAAATTTATGTTAAATTAACAAAAAATTTTCTCCCAAATTATAAACATAATATTTTTCTCAAAACTTATTTGAGGAATATTGTTTATTTTTAGAAATCATATTTTATGATATCGATGTACAAAGGATAGCATATTAACACCACATTGTGTAACTGTTACAAAACATAATTTATTTACTTTGTATCCCATTTTCTAAAACTGCATCGTAGCTTTATGTAACGAATTTCTATTTCAAATCCCACGAAAAGAAACTGTTCCAGTCGGATCTAAGCGAAAGTCTTTGTGAGTAAATAGAACCGATCGATGGAACTGACGCTTGTATTATTTCTAGAAGTTCGGAAGTGTAGGTATTTTCAGGTTTCTCAGAGAGTTTTGTCGACTTTTTAAAACTTACAAATAAATAAAACACTTGACGGTTTAAACGCGAAATATATTATTTAGAAAGAATAGAAATACCTTTATTCAAAGATAACACAAGACATTTAACAAACATTTTAAGAATAATTACAATATAATATTAATTAACTAAATAATACATTTAAACAAAAGTCCCCAATACTGATATTCTGTGGCCCCATTTGTATTATTACACAATTTAACTTTAAATGCTTTGCAGTGTACTCCCTGTGACATAAATTAAATTAAAAATAAGTTTACTACTACATTTCGCGTTTCAACCTTTAAAAGTGTTTTATTTATTTGTATTTTTATTTAAATGCGTACTACTTGCGTAAACTACAGACAATATTTAAGATATATATAATTTTTCACACACGAACATTAATATATGGACTCGAGTCACATTACGTAACTATTACAGTTATTGAATATTAAAACTAGGCTTTATATTAAAATGCATTGAATTGAATAAATTTCGAAATTAATATTAGAGGAGAGTTTTATCCAGACAAGTATTTTTTAACTCAGCTTGCAAAATTTGATCATAACCTAAAAACTCATTCAGCGAGACTAGTTCCCGAATCCATTGGAACACGTCATAGTTATTATCTACACAATAAATCCTTCAGTACATGTCCATTAATCCGACTCAGGCGAACAATTTGTCACACAGACAGACAGACATAATGAAATGATAAGTGCTAAACGTTTACAACACATGACAACCTTATCACGTCGCGCTAGAGGAGATTTTTGCTTGATTTATCACAGCGGTGATTTAGGATTATCGTCTGTAGGATTTGAGTGCTAGAGGCTGTTTTCCTTTAAAAGATTTTAAAATTAATGCTCTGTTAAGTGACGTAAAGTTAAGGATTCGTTAACGGGCGATAGCGAGGCGGTTTGCTTCTTTTTGGGTTTGTTAAATATTTTTCAAAATTTTGTGAGTTTCAGAAATTAGTACATATCCAGATTTATTAGTAATTTTTAAAGATAGGCTTTAAGAGTAAACTACAAAATTGGAAATGTTCAAGTCTTACGAGCGAGAGATGACAGGGCAAACTAGTTATTACCAGTTTTAGTCTTATTCCTATCTATACTAACAGCTAAAGAGTTTGTTTGTTTAAACGCGCTAATTTCAACTACCGGTAAAGCAGTTAAAATATTGTCTGCAACACTATATGTCTATCTTTTAACATTAACTTACAAGAACGATGGGACGTCGTGGATAACAACTTAAAATTATAAAATATGGAGCGGAGTTTTGTAAAAACAAATTTGGATGCCCAAAATAACTGTCCTACGCAGACAAAGTCGGTGGCATAGTTAGTAATAATATAGTATATAGTATCGTCTGCACCAACTCAGGTGTATAAAATCGCTAATCGTCCCAAACGGCCATGCCCTAATCGACTAAATGCATTGCTGAGCAAGTTCTTTCGCATTAATAACCGCAGGTGCAAAGAGATGACGGATGGAGATTGTAACGAGATCTCGTTTAAAACACTCTGTATAATGCCTTCCTACTGTTTAGACGTCAGACTAAAAAGCCTTTTACTACCGGCATGTGTCTATACATTATCGTAATAAATGTAAAATTAAAAGATGTAGTAGCTAAGAGGAATCACTCGTAGAAGATGAACATAAAATAGATTATAATTAAGAAAAAAAATTACTTTTTATAATTTTAATAAATAACCTATAAGCAAAATGACCTGTCGGTTTCACATAGAATCATAGATCATAGATATCAGAACTGGAATCGCTTTCGATGGTCGAATCGGAGGTTTTGCTCGATCTAGACTTGACGTCGTAGTCGTAGAAGAAGTGAACGCCGTAAGGCTGATCTAAGCTTGTACTGTTTGGGCAGCGATTGTCGTGTATCTTGACAAACACTGGAATACATCAAAGAATATTTAGTTAATATATAAGACAAACAATTTTTCGTTTATGTTATACATACTAGTGCCGTCCTGGCAGTTCCTGTAATGCATCATGCAGAGGCTCTTGAATGATCTCCTCGCGCGTTGGTACCCGCCACAAATCCACTCTATTGTCGGGTCTTTCCACTTCTTTACCATATCGTCGGGACACGGAGTACATTTGCGATGCCATTTTCTCCTTAAAACAATAACTTTTTTATCGCCATGTAATAGCGGTTTCTCTCAGGTAACACGTTAAAATATTATCTTTTCCTGTAATTATTTCTAATTAAAATAACAAAAGTGTTATAATACCATCCCCTTCTCTCCTTTGAAGACTTTGGGTGATGTCTTTTCTCCGAAGACGACGTTGAAGAAGCAGAGATGTCCAGTGACTCAAATCTCTCATCCTTGCTTGATTTACCTACATTAAACATATAATGTATGTATGTCAATAGATTATGTATATAAATTAAGTGATACAGTTTTTTTAATTAATATACTAAGCGGTTCTTTACCAGATTTTATGTCGCCCTCTGACGAAGATGTAGATATTTCTTTCAACTTGTTCTTTCTTCTTCGGGTGTCTCCGTTTATGTTGTTGTTAATATCCATAACTGTAGCATTTTCTATCAAGGCTGATGATAAATCCACTAAAATTACAAATACAAAGGAAACGCAAAATTGTATCTAGTTAAACATTAAATTCACTCCATCTATAGTAATTCAGTATTACACGGTCATATTATATAAAATTGTCTTGAACGTCTTGTAAACTTCGTTCGAAGACGAAGTTCGGATTTGAAAATATTTAAGTTTGAAATCTTGAGCAAGTAGTTCCCGGCTTGTTTCCGGTCAGTAAAAGAACTATTAACTTTCTAAGTCAAAACATTTACGAGACAAACTTAAAACTGTACGATGTCAGAGACAGATTTTCTACTGAATACGCGTAAAGAATAGAAATAGTTTTTGAATGTGAATTAACACTTAATGAAATGCAATATGCGTACCAGTAACAATAATTAACAGGCAAACATGTGCATATTCCGGTCTCATATTTTATAGAACCAATTCACTTTGCCGCCTTTAAAATGTATGAAAAATCATAAATTCCGACCGCGGACGCTTATCAATACGATTTATATAAACCCTATTTTCGTTGTTTTTCATACTTTTATGTTTCGACTGCGATAACATTCGATTTTAGTTTAGGTCGCGTTTGACTACCGGGAGTTTTGGTTTGCATTTTCGCGAAAATTATTATGGAAATGTGTCAGTCCACTGCTGGATTTCGGATTGGAAATGTTTGTTATAAATGGCGAACATAGATCCGGAAACACACGATGTGGTAATAAAACATCTGTGACTGTTATCCTGGACACGGTAGAAAAGGTTCTAGGTGCTTCTAATGTAGGCCCATAACATCGGGTTCATTACTTGTCTGATAAATAGCACCTAATTATGTTAATAGGTATGTATAAAACGCGGGTCAACAAATTGGAGATGTGATTAACGTTCGGCCGCGTTGCGAGTAACAATTTATATTATTAGACACCATATGGGGATAATGGCGGAATTTCGCGATTCGCTGTAATTGAAATCGCTTTGTTTAGAATTGATATCGAGCTTGACGGAAACAATAAAACCATTCGATACGAAGTTTTACATTAGTTAAACCGACTGTTTATAATAAGCTCTATTGATAAGTTTTAAACACATTTTTTTTATTTTATAAATATGCGTATGTAATGATGAAAACTAAATCAAAATTTGCTACTATTTATTTATTATTTGTGATAAAGGTGGACAAACATTCATGGGATCACCTTAAAGGAAGGACCCCAGGCATATGACTATAATGTGTTGTCAACTTATAATGCATATTCGCAATCTAAAATCAATGAGTGTTGTAGCTTTTTACACTCTGTAAATGTAAAACCAGTGCCGCCCGTGAAACGTGCTATTCTTACAGCGCCTGTCAGCTATTTTCACAAACACTGAAATAATAAAATTTAACTTAAACGTGATAAGATTTTACTATATATTTATAGAGCTTCAAAAAATTTTAGTCTATTTTAGACTTAACAACTGTTGATAAAATATTCATTTCGTCTACCGCAATTTTGTCTTTTGTTCTAGGAAGCTAGCTTTGTAGCCTTTATCCGAAGTCTACGGTGGCTAAAGCTTCGGTTAGTTTCGAGATTTACAATAACCAGTGAGCTTCATGTAGACATTTTTAAACGGTCTAAACTCAATACTTTTTACTGTTGTAGTATTTACTTGTCCCATCCTGACAATTCCTGTACCGCATCATGCACTCGCTCTTGAATGATCTGCGCGCGCGTTGGTACGATGCGCATATCCACTTAATGCCGAAGTTTACGTATTTCTTCATCATATCGTGCGGACAAGGGGTGCATTGCCGGTAGGTTTTCGTTCTGAAGAACGCAAGTGTAAACAGAGAATGCAATTGATCGTTATATTCTCTTATACGGCAAATAAATTGGGTTTAAAACTACAATGAATAAACTAAATAATAAAAGATCCAATATGCAATGTCCTAAACTAGAAACAGACATTTAACGACGTCGTAAAACTTACGCGAGTCGGACCTCCTTAGTTTCAATAGACGACGCTTCGGACGACAAACTCGAAGACACGCTGCCCGAGCCGGACGATATAGAGCTTAAATCATAAAATATCAACTTTAAAGAATACGCCCGAGAAAATGTTAACTCGAAGTTCGTAAGGAGACCGGGAACAAAGTGGCAGATTGCGGCCGAGTTGAGCACTTTGACATTGAGTCTCTCCTACTATCGGAACTTTAATTTAATTAGTGGTCGGGTACGACTGTAACTAATTTCTGATTAGACGTAAATACTTGATTTTGTATCAGCGTGAAATTCTTATTCGCGTTCGCTTAGTTTTCTATGGATTTAATATTCACATAATCAGATTGTGAAGTTTTAAAAAATTTACATTTTTTTTAGGTTATTTAACCTCGTTCGTGATACAAATTTTTATAAACATCTCATATTGATGCCACTAATAATGATTCCCACTTAATTCACTGTTATTTAAAATATCAAATGGTCGTATGAGCGCTGTCAAACAAACGAAAAGTAGGGTTTTGCTGAAAATCAGTGTTCGAGCATAACTGTACCGCAACTTATGCTGACGCAAGACACTTTTGTATTAATTGTGTTGTAATTACATTTATTTCTCTCTTACATTGTGCTAAATGAATGCCAAATAGAGAGATTTATTATTATTATAAATGTAAAACGTACCTGCTCTTAACACCAGACGCACTAGTTTTCAAATCGCTTCCGCTCTGTCCCGAAGAATCCTCGACGTACTCGTACCATCTGTCCCCTCTGTGCTCCGCATCACCGAACCCCGCTACATCTATAACATCGGGATGCTCCAGCCCCAGAGGGGTCAGGGTTAGCTGGCATATTGTTACTAAAATATGAATTAATCCGAACGTTTTTAGACCTCACTCAAGGGCCAATATCCCTTATCTTTTAAAACAGTATAAAATCGTTCAAAGACTAAAGAACACAAATGTGAAAGGTGGGTTCCATCAAACTACCTAGAACTATGCCATAGCGCCTCGCATTCTATCCTAATAAAAATATCGCGCAATTAAAAGTGATTTCCCCCGGGACGAGCACTATTAGTCTATTAACTCAGATACAATGCAAACAGGAATTTTCTACCCTAGTTGCTAAATAAACCTTGTACACTGTTGGGAAATATTGCAATCCTGTCAAAATGTTCAATATTATTGTTTGCTTCTAAACGGTCGAAATTAGCGAGTCTGAATAGAGAAGAAATATTTATTGTGTTTAAGTGCTAAACCTAGGAACCTTCTCTTTGTTAATGACGTAACGGATTTTTAAGTAACTAAGGTATATAAATTTAAAATTGATTATAAATATGAAAACTTGAACAGGCATCCACAGCGTTTCGTGCTGTTGCTCTAACCAATTCAGCTACATTATACATGCATTTTTATTACATCATATTGATACATGCGCCGTTCGCGCAATGTAATGTTACCATCATGTGCAATAACATGTGAAAAATATTAAAGTGTTATAATTATTCGTAAATAGTCAAAATCAACAACACCATCTGAGCAAGATAAACTTGTTGTTCATTTGGCACAGGTTCGTCACCTGTTATCAAACGCTTAACGTCGACTTGTGACTTGTATTAAAATAATTAATTGGATAAAGCAGTAACATAATACCGTCAATAACAGAAGTCAATACACTCAAAAACACTATAGTTCGCTCAATTATCGTGCTAGCTTCACTATGAGACCCCATTCTTCGTTGCTTTCGATATAAAACGTACAAATCAGTTTCAATGCTTTTATAGCCCGCAATAAATTACTTCAAACATTATTCTCGTTACTGTATACCTTTGAAATAATAAAATTATATATACCGCTCGAGCAATACGATGTTTTATGAATATTGTGCTCCCCTTTTGATAATTCTGTATTAATGAGGTCTGTTAATAAAACATAGTGCTTAGTAGGTATTTATTAAAGTTAATGGCGTGCTTTGTCTTAACATGCTTTCCTTAAACTAGAAATTATAAAAAATTAAAATTAATCGTAGTCCGTCTCGTTGCTTGGTTCGTTCTCAAATATTTTCATCTGTAATAAAAGTGCAAAATACTTTAAGACTGTACTATGTATGTACAGTCTATATTATATTAGTATATCGGCATATGATATAAAAGTTATTTATAGTCAATTAATATATATGTTAGCAAAGTAGATTAAAAAAGTCTCGCTGACCCAATAAAAATCTATTAAGATTGAAACAAGTTGTCAGACACGGCCGGGACTTGAACTGGCATTCACACTATTCTGTGCTGCTACTCTTACCAATTTGGTTCTATTTGAAACGAAACAATTCACAACCAAGAAATTTCGCGCTAGGAAATGCGCCAAAAACTTGTCTTACCTCAAAATTTTATGCCTATTTAGCACAAGGACTGCCTAGGCAGAGTGTAAATAAGCTACCACTTGCGTCTTGGAAGCAGAAACACGCTTGGCAGTTATGATGGTACTTGTCGCCGCTATACTTGCAAAGGCCAGGTCCTGAATAATAAGAAATTATTGTTTTACTAAATAGTACAAACATAGAGTGACCAACTATATATAACACTAGCTTTCGGCCACGACTTTGTCAACATGGAAGAGGTGTTACTTTTAGGTTATAGTTTATAACGTTGCAAGATGTTTCAAATCCCAATGCGTAATACATCGAATAAGAAAAGAAAGTATATTATATTTCTATATAATTGAAAATTACTGCTGTACTATTTACTTAAAACATACTCTCAAATCGTTTTGAGATTAAAGTATGTTTCCTGAGTAGAAAATTATATTTTCACGTTTACTTTTCTAATGAGTACCACGATATTACTTTTTACATAGGATTCTCGACATAAAACCCGCTATTAAAAGTTGTAACCAAAAACGCGAGGATTCAAAGAAGTTTGATTAAATGGAATTTGCGTGACATCCCGTCCGCCTCAAACCATTTTTAATATCCCAAAAGTTGTTATCCCAAGGGTATCGCGCTGTATACGAAACTCTAGCGAACAATTAAGTTTTAATATTTAACGGTAGAATGCGAACACTTAAAATTAAGTTATAAGCTTACCGGAGCGTATTAATGGTCGGCCGGACATCGCCGAAATCTCCCGCAAACTCTGCACACCTAAACAATAGAATTTTTCCAACAAAACGGTAAATAAAAAGTTATGAAAGAGAAGTTTGTGAATTAGGACCCTCTAATTTCGAAGAAGGACAAGCACAGTTTAACTTGAATGCTTAACTTTTAAGGAGTCTCAGAATTGGGAAAAGTTCAACAATTTCTATCATTTTTGTTAATATTTTATATACTTGTTCCCGTTCAATTTGTTTAAAATTGCGTATTTATTAACGTCGGCTGTAATAGTAGTTGCAAATATTGGTTTCGTTTTGTAATTCACATGAAAACGTGTCAAAAACACTCTGCTAATGGAATTTCAACGTTTACTCAGCAACTGTGATGAAGTCGCTCTCATACACACGACAAATAGGATAAAATGATTAATTAATTAATATGTTCCCTATATTGTAATAATACTTGAATTATTTAATCGGGCTGGGGTGAATTTAGGTAAAAGCGTCTTAGAAATTATAAGTCAATAAGCGATTCAGATAACGTGCCGATCAAACTTACTTGAAAAAAAAATAAAAAACTCACCGGATCCCCCAGTTTGTCCCAAAATTGACCTATCCCATCCGCCAATTCCCGGAGGTAACAGCTCTGGCATCTGACCGTAAGGATATTGGAAGAGACCCGGATACAGTTGGGGAGCACCTGGGCTAGGTTGAATTTGACCTATACCAGGCATCCCACCATAGAAAGGATAGCCTTCATATAAACCCGTATACATTTGGCCGTTTCCAAACGAGTCTGCCGTGGCATAGGATTGGCTTCCAAGGACACCTAGAGGACTCTGTGTAGCACTAGCTAATGCCTGGGAATAAGCTAAATCTCCTGTGACTTGACTTCCAGCTGCGCCGTAGCTGTTAGTTTCATAGAATGGATAAGCGTTAGTATCCGGTGGAATGTTGATTAAAGCGTTAGACTGGGCCGATGCAGTTGCCTCAATCGATCCCGGGAAAACTACTCCAAATGGATACTCATTGCCGGTATTAGAGAAGCTCTCAGCGAATGCGGAACTAGATCCAACGCTTGAGAGAGCTTGCGTTAGAGCTATGGCTTCAGCTGATGCAGGGTTGTAAAGGGAATCGGACGCAGCTTGAGCTTGTGCCTGAGCTAGTGATTCTGTCAAACCATACGAATTTGCTTGTGCACTTGCAATTGCGTCTGCAGAACTGAATGATCCGCTTGCTAGGTACGATAGATCTGTGAATATAACTTACATTAATAATTTTTAAGGCCTTAGTGCTCATATCATTTACCATAGAATGCGAAATGATACTGTATGGATTCAATTTATTTACAAGATCAGGATATAAGCTTTCAGCTGAAGATCTCTTTATGTTTAAAACATATATATTGTATTATAGTTCGGTTCCCCAAATCATTTTCTCGTTTGCTATTAGGTTGGAAAAGCGAATTGGCGAAATAGGTCGGTAGTTGATTAAAAATGAACAAAAATACCGCAGTTAGGTTGTGGAGTGCAGCTAGCGATGACGTAATTAAAAACTGGGTGACAGGAACACACGTTGCAATTCACAACGAATGGCTGATTCGGCATTCGATAACGACACTTCGGCTCTGGAAACCAAAGTTACTTTTCAACTGTTTCAATGCTGTTTTATTCGGATTTAAGCCTCACAACTGAAGCTCAATCGGAACCATGCAAAGTGGAACACAACTGTAATGTGAACGTATAAAAATAATACAAACAAGACGTAAACTTAAGTAAATGCGCTCAATTTATACACAAAGGTTTATGAGTGGCTATGATGTCTTCCATTAGTTAACTCGTTTTCCTGCAAATAAAACGTCGGGCTTAGCCAGCAACTTATTTCTCGTAAACTCACCGATAAACACGAGGTTGTTGTAGGGCGCCATGGCTACAATAAAACGGAGTCGTTAATTACGTGTATCAATAAAACATCCCGTTTGATATCGATCCGTTCGCTTACCGGGGGAATCCGCACCTGAAATCAAAAGCGCAAAGAGATGAAACGCGGTCGGAATTGGGGCGAAGTTTAGGGCTGTTTTTGTATGAGTAGTCGCGTATAAATACACTTGGCCCGCGGTCAGTGATTGGACGTTAGCGTTTGATTGTTACGATGATTGCCTCTCGATTTCCCGAGGCGATTGTGTTGGCTTTAGGGTATCGCTTGAGCAAAGAAACGCGCACATTTATCTCTACGTATTCCCAATTGCTAAAATTAACCAATATCATGTCATATAAAGAAACGCATTTTCATTCGTCACTTTATCGGTCGCCTCTCTAACGGACTTTCAGTAGCCGTTTATTGACGGCTCCGAGCCAAATATTTTCAGCATGTTTTCGCCTTTAACAGCACCTGTGGCGGCTCGCTACTCCGTTATGCCGGCTTTTTGCGACCGTTTGTCAATTTCGACGGCCGTGTCGCCTGATGCGTCGTAAATTTTTACTTTATACGTTTCGTTGTTTTTGGTTCATTTGTCACTGACGAATAAATAATTTTCGAAGGTGCTGTACTGTTTTTATTCATAACGTATTTATTCTTTACTTAATATATTAATTATTATAAGCGTTACGTGTTTCATAGACAACATAATAATAACTCTCATGGATATTTAAATAATAATTACAAACCGAACGAATGAGTACTTTTCCTAAGACAAATGTATGTAATTAGGAACTAATGGAATGAAGCTAGTTTCTCAAAATCTAAATTTGTTAAAACAAATGGTTAGCTGCGATAGAGTAAAAGACGAATGGCGACAAGAAAAGCAATTTAGCAAACGAGACACGAAATTAGAAAACTGGCAGAAAATACGGAGTCGCTTTGTTTCATAGATATGTCGGGTTACAATTCGAATTGTAATGTAAATTATTTCATTTCCTTTGTTGGATATCTTATATTTATTATGCTCACATATAAGTAGACGCGTGTGCGTGATTCGATTTACGAGATAAAACATGTAATTTAAACTTAACACTGGTGACACATTAAAAATTTCAATTTAACTTTTGATCCATAAGAGATTCGTGTTGATTTTGTCTTAGAGGCTCTTAGATAACTTACATTCGGGTCTGCTGGAGCGTCTACAGACTGGCGCTACGAAGTTTCCGTATAGTTGACAGGTGCACACTTTGCAGACGTCCTCCAAGGCTATGAATTCGGATCCCATTTCTTGATATTGGCAGGACTGATCTGTATGTCAGATGAGAATATGTTCTACATGTTATCGCAAGACTTAAACATAACTACACATAACAACATAATAAAAACATTTAAACAAACACAAAATTGCAAACAACAATACAGTCTTACCGGTGTATAGTAGAGGTTGCAGTGCTGAAATAATTTTCATTATTAATTCTCTATGTAGTATTGTAGTAAACTGTATATATTAATAAATATTTTCATTGCATTTAGTAATTTACTATGAAGTACATTTTTATTTTTCTTAAATTGTACGTGTAATAGAACAATAAAATCAAAATACCTGTCGGCAGCTGTAGGGCAGTCGATGGGGGTTCTATATAATAATAAACTGGTTTTAATTAAATTGCCGCGTAAACATGTAACTTACCAAGAACTAAACTCACCAAAATACTGAATGGGTTGTGGAACTGCAAAATAGAGGACTTATATCAGAAAAGTAGTGTTATATTTAAAAAGTTTATAATTTCTTACATGTCACATGAAGGCACTATATAATTAAAAAATCGGAAATAAATTGAAAAAAATTTCAACTCGGGCAGGACTTGAACCGGTCGCTGAACAGGACGCTAACGATGCCGGTTTAACTTTTTAAATTATATAGTGTAATATTATAAAGCATAAGAGATTATTTGTTTGAACGCGCTAATCTAAAGAACAATTTGTTTGAATTCAAAAATCTTTTTGTGTCGGTCGTGTGTACCGTTTAACGAGGAAATGCTTTGGGATATAAAAAATCTGTATGTGACCAATTAGAGCTAAGAAACAGTGGGAAATGTGGTAGAAATAGGGAAATTTTATTTATCTTTTGAGGAGTTTTCGTTGCGGACGCTTCGAAAATAGTTCAAGATATCAAAAATCATGTGGAGAAAAATTATTCTCCTATAAATAATCCCTAAAAATATACGTCTATCTTTTAAGATTGACTAACAAAACCCGTTGTTATGGTAATCATAGTTTGTTCAATTCAAATGGCAAAATAACGTCGCGTCAGCTAGTGAGCTAGTGAGCTATAATCAAATGAACAACATACGTGGTTGCAGAATGGGCGAGGGAAGGGGTAATGGTTGCGGATTCGGCTCTGGAACAAAATAATTATGAAATAATTTAATATAGTCATTTTAATAGCAACCCGGTCTCTTATTAACAACAATAGTGGCAGTATAAATAGAAAATACATGTACAAATTGAAGGACTGAAATTCCTCACTCTGTTATTAAATGCTACAAATAAATAATACACAATTAAACTTAAAGTTAGACCAATTATGCTGTAATTGTTAATATGGCAGAAGAATTAGTGTATCTTTTTTTATCTTTGTCATGTGGAGGGTTTTAATTGTCACCATTTATCAATAGTAAAATTGTAGAATACAAACCTGGGAATGGTAGTTCAACGCCTGTAAATTGAAAGGGATTCCATTTTATTTTAAATATTGCTTAAAACATTTTTTTTTAATATTATTTATACTTCCTACATTTGTATGCATTAAAGTACTCACAGCACGATGGTTTCGTATTACAATTAACTTCGATATTGGTGATGCCTCTGGCGTGGAACTCACTGCAGACACAAATTCTGCATTCATCCCAAGGATGTTGGAATGGTATGTTCGGAGGATATGGTCGGCAAGATTCATCTAGACATATATAAATAATATGTTAATAGTTCCGTTTAAAGATTTTTACTTTAAAGAGATACAACGACTTACGCGGTGGAGGCCCTGGTAGTGGACTCGAGGGAATATTGATTGAAATAGGTGGCCATGGCACTGAAACATTTATTTCCTAGATACTGTCTGTAGTTTACGCCGAGTAGTACGCATTTAAATAAAACACTTCAACGGTTTAAAACGCGATATATTTTAGTTAAACTGCGGCAAAGCAGCCGAAACGAACTAAAACTAAAGTGTTTTATTTAAATATTTGTTTCTGTCATTTTACTATACTCAAAATTAAATAGTTTTAAAGTAAAATTACTGTTTTGTACTTACGTGGTTCGGGAATTATGGGTTGTGGCAATAGATCCGATTCTGGAAGTGGCACGGGCCATAGTTCTGGTGTTTCTATAATAGGCCAAGGTTCTGGTGCAACAGGTATCGGTTCAGGAAGAGGCCATATTTCTGGAGTAGGTGGTAGTTCAGGGCTAGGCCATGGCTCGGGCTGAAGAGGGATGTATTCTGGTACAGGCCATGGCTCGGGCTGAGATGGAACAAATTCGGGTGATGGCCATGGTACCAACGGTGAATCTTGAGAAATAGGCAAAGGCTCAAGCTCAGAAGGTATAAACTCAGGAATTGGCCAAGGCTCGGGGGCAGGTGGTAACAGATCGGGCGTCGGCCAAGGTTCTGGCACTGGAGGTAAAGGTTCCGGAATAAGCCATGGTTCAGGTTCTGATGGAAGATATCCGGGTATTGGCCACGGTTCCGGTTCTGCTGGAATGAATTCGGGTACTGGCCATTGTTCTGGCTCTTGGGGTATGATCTCTGGTAGAGGTAGTGGTTCTGGGATAATTGGTACGAATTCTGGTATCGGCCATGGTTCCGGTTCTGCTGGAATAAATTCGGGTATGGGCAATAGTTCTGGCTCAGGAGGTATGAACTCGGGTGTAGGCAATGGCTCTGGGACAGGTGGTACGAATTCTGGTATTGGCCATGGCTCTGGACTAGGTGGCATAGGCTCAACAATAGGCCACGGTTCAAGTGGTTCCGGAATAGGCCATGGTTCTGGAATCGACCAGGGTTCTTCTGGAATTAAATTTATAACAATTGTTAATTATGTTTTGTATATTTTTGATTTTATTTCTCGAGAAAATATCTCGAAACCAGTCTAGAAAGCTTTCAACGTGAATCTCATCGTGTCATTTTATTCAGCAATGTAATAAACATACCGCAGTCAGGATTCGGCATGCATAGTATTCGCTGTTCCGGTATGCCAAAGGGCAATACCTCAACGATACACTGACAAATTGTGCAACTTTCTGTCGGATGAGGGAAGAATATGTCGGGTGGGAACTTCTCACAGAGGGGCACTGCAATTTTTCATTACGATATTCATACATTTCAGACGATAATTTCATAGAAAGCAAATGTGTGCATAAGTACTTAATAAATTAACGGGAACTCAAAAGAAAAACTTACTAGGAACGGGTTGCGGCGGCACAGGTATGGGTGCTGTAAAGGAATTGATGAATAAGAAATAACATTGATTTTATTCCGGCATATTTTAATAAAATTTGCGTAATCACTTACGTATCGGACTGATATCGAACGGCGTTCCTGTAACAGAGAGGGTTTTATCTGAACTGATGAAATTCATTGATTTGCGAGTCTGATTAATCAGTATATCTGAGAACAAAAAATATTTTGTTTCAAACAATGACAAATCTCAAAGGTCTTTGGAAGAGATTTTGGAAAAGGGTCTATTGAGATAAATAAGATGGTATCACTTGAAGTCGAAAAATATATACTGTTTGTATACATAGTTAAAACGTAAGAAGGTTTAGTGAAAATGCCTTTACCGCAGTCTGGGTTCTCCTCGCAGTTGATTTGTATATCGGGCTGTCCGATCGCATTGAATACATGCTGGCAAATACATATTTGGCAAGGGTTCAATGGATTCTGGAAGGGCGTGTCGTCTGGTAGCGGTGAACATGAATCTGCCACAAAAAGTGTATAGTATATACTAAGTGTATAGTTTGGACTAATCCTAAAGGAAAACCGAAATTTAAAGAAAACTTATTTTATAGTCGTCTCCTGTATCTTGTTTAAGAAAAATTAAAGGATAGTTGCACCTTCTTAAGTATTAAAATGTTCTAATATTTAATTTTAAAAATATGCCAAAGCAAAGATGTCACTACATGTAAAAAATTCTTAATCAACATGGATTCAGAGATAAGGAACCTACACTTATACATAGAATACATTTACCAAATTGCGTCTTACGTTGTGGCTCGGGTGGAGGCAGTGGAGGTAGCGGTATTGGAACCGGCAAAGGTTCCGGTTCCGGTACCGGTATTGGTGTAGCGAAACATGAGTCACAGCCAACGCACACAGGCAGTAATTGTCCTAGAACTTCGCTGCATGTACAAATCAGACACTGGCTGTCCAATGTCAATATACTGTACAAATCCCCAGGCCGCCGGCACACAATTTCATCTTGACCTGCAAAAATAACGGCTTCATATAATATTATGTGTTTCCATCATTTTCGGTAATCTATTAAGATCTTATTCGAGGGCCTGTTGATAACGTGCATATGTACTTTGCTTTACTTTAGTTAACGGCTTTGCATTAATAAAATTTTTACAACTTAATGTAGTAAGATTTACAAGTGATGACTAATTGAAAAAAATACTCGCCGTTAACTGATCGTGGTATAATGTATTCTAGCGGTGAAATCAATCTGGCGCTTCCTGAAAAAAATAATGTGTTCCATTTTATATTCGATTCTTGACGATAAATTCCAGATCTGGTATTATAATTTGTTTTAATTTTAATAAAGTAGGTAGGTACTTTTACAAAACCATCAACCCGAAATAAAAATACCAATAACCTGGACTGTAAAATCCAACGGAAGTTGCTTGAGCTTCTGCTGCAGATAAACCATTACTTGGGTAAATTCTGGAAAAAGACATACTCATACATTCTTTCACAAAGACGATTACTCTTCTTAATAAATATTTATCGCGTGACTCACCCTGGACCATATGGATCCCATCCAGATCGCAAATCGGCTTGTGCTACAGCTGTAGTATAACTTGAATCTGGATTAAAGAAACTAAATATAACGCGTAGTATATTTTTTAAGGAGACAATATTTCTTTAAAGCCAATAATAAAAACTTTATTACCTTGAATCATGTGAATTCCATCCTCCGGCGTCAGCTTGGGCTGCAGCCGAGGTATAACTTACGTCAGGGAAGTAACCACTGAACAGAGTTAAAATCGTAAAAGTAGATTAATTTAAATAAGGTATTTTAACGGTTTAAAGCGCGAAATGTATTACAAAACTTATTTCAGATTCATTTTAACGGCTCGACGTTGCGGATGCATTGAAGTAGCCTATATATAAAGTAAAATTTCGTATTTTATACCGGTAAAAGTGTGTTATTTAAGGTTTACAACTCGCGTAAATTACAGATCATACTTAAATCCCTTTTCTACAATACTCGTGACTTAGGATGACTCTGAAATAATATTGAAATAAACACGTTCCATAGTACCTTGGCATAAAAGGATTCCATCTGTTATAATCTCCTTGAGTTTGCGCAATGGCATCCGCCGAGGAATAAGTTCCTAGTCCCAGATAAGGACTTGACGGAGCTGAGTACGAGAACGATTCGAAGAAAGGGTTTCCACTAGATGCTGTAGCTTGTGCATTACCAAAAGCTTGAGTAGAACTGGGGAGCAAATCGGGTGAAAGAAATCCATAAGGAGGCATAACACCAAAACTTCCGTCAGAAAATGTATTGGCTTGAGAGAAGCCATTTGAAGAACTTGCACTTGCATGTGCCGAACTAAATCGAGACTCTTCGCCTTCACTTTCATCATCACCACCTGATTTCAGTTGTTTATCACTTGAGACTTGCTCTTCGTGAGCTGGTGTAGGTTCAATTGAACTCAATTCACCTTGTTCCGTTTCCGCTTCCACGGTATTTCCACGTCGCGCTTCTAAAACATCTTGCGTTACATAATCAATATCGCTTTCTTTATCTTCTAATTGTGGCAATTTTATTTCAGCACTACTTGTTGTGACCTCGTCATCACCTGTCTTATCATCAATTTCTTCTCTATTCGTATCTATAATGAAAACGTATATATGAACATGTAGATTTATTGTTTCCCGGATTGATATTCTTGTTTAACTTGTCGATAATTAGCCATTCTTACCAAATAGAGGAGATTGAGAGGTGTCTGATGCATTTTGGCCAAAAGTGAAGTGGAACAACAGGAAGGCAAGGAAGTATAAACTTCCGATAGCGCCTCCCCGCATTCTTAACCCGAAAGTATTATTGGCCGACCCTCAATCTTGCTGCTTATATTTCAAATAGTTGTTTCAACTGCGCTTATTAAAATCAAGTACCTCATTATAAATACATCATAAGCCTCCGTGAAAATCGTCAGTCATATTGATTTATAGGTAATACATATGAAATTGAAGTGCAGATTAGAAATGGATGTGTTTCTAATTTGTTCCATCAAAATAATTTGTTATAGACGGCTATTACTTATCAAGTCGATATTCATTATAATCTAGGCGTAACTAGTTATAACTTCGGATTATAATATGTTTTAATAATCTTAGTGGTGCATTTACATAGTCACGAATGTAGGTTAATTAAGGTCGTAGAAAATAAAAACTAAAATTTCATCCCACTAAATTTATTTTTGTTGAGTATGGAGCGTACACTTTGTCCTTTTTCAATATGCTCATTAAACTAAAGGTTCGTTATCCGATTTCATGCCGTTTCTATTTATGGAGATCACTTGAAACCTTTGTGTATCTGTAACAAATAAAAATAATTAAACTTTTAAAGTTTAGATGAAATCAATAATAGTTAAATGGCGACACAAAATGACAGTTGTCGCAACAAATTTACTTTTTGTTTAATAATGATGCATTTGGTGATTAAATAGAACTTTGGGTTAAAAATTGTATTTCTTATAATAAGTCTTCTTTTATCTGTAAAATATTTAAAAAAATAGAATACGAAAGAAGCATAGTAAAATAAAAAATACCTGATTAGTAATATTTTCTTGGTATCTCCTTATTCTTCAGTTGGGGCGGTTTTACTCCATGAACTGGCTTGGGCTAAAGCGGATGCACTAGCATCTGACCAGCCACCTCCGTAGCCTCCGGCGTTAGCGTTTGCTACGGCTTCTGCGTTAGACCAGCCTCCACCACTGCTCAAAGCGTTGGCAACAGCGTTAGCATTGGAACCACCCCAGCCTCCGTAACTACCGGCGTTTGCATTAGCTTCGGCATTGGACCAACCTCCTAGACCTCCTAGACCGCCTAGACCTCCTAGACCTCCTAGACCTCCAGAAAGAGCATTAGCTTCAGCGTTTGCTTGTGCACTCGAATACCCACCGAGGCCTCCAAGTCCTCCCCATCCTCCGTACGGGGACAAACCTCCACCGTAAGCATTGGCAGCTGCTTCCGCACTAGCTTGTGCGTTTGAATATCCTCCAAGACCTCCGAGGCCACCTAGGCCGCCATATGGTGATAGACCGCCGCCGTAAGCATTAGCCGCTGCTTCAGCACTCGCCTGTGCATTGGAGTATCCTCCCAGTCCTCCTAGTCCTAGTCCATCGTAGCCATCGTAAGGTAACAAACCACCGCCGTAGGCATTAGCAGCTGCTTCAGCACTTGCTTGTGCATTTGAATAACCTCCGAGGCCACCTAATCCACCATAAGGTCCCAAACCACCGCCGTAGGCGTTAGCAGCTGCTTCAGCACTTGCTTGTGCACTTGATAATCCGCCAAGACCCCCTAATCCTCCTAGTCCACCATAAGGTCCCAAACCACCGCCGTAGGCATTAGCAGCTGCTTCGGCACTCGCTTGTGCACTTGATAATCCACCAAGACCCCCTAATCCTCCTAGTCCACCATAAGGTCCCAAACCACCACCGTAGGCATTAGCTGCTGCTTCAGCACTAGCTTCTGCATTTGAGTATCCGCCTAAACCTCCCCATCCGCCTAGAGCGCTAGCTTCTGCGTCAGCGTGAGCGCTAGAACCTCCCCAGCCACCCCAGCTGTTAGCGTTGGCATTTGCACTGGCTGATGCAGATGCACCTCCGTAATAGGCTGAAATTAAGAGTGATAATTAATTATGGTGGCGTCATTTGTAGAGGAACATTTTGTTATGGTCGGAATGGGCTAACTTACGTCCGAATGGCTGGTACGGGGTGTAGTCTGAAAAAGGGAAACAATATTAGGGTCTTATTTGAGTTAAACCTGATAGCGTCTTGTATCTTGTAATTGAAACATTCAACAGACTACTAGATTACGTAGCAGTAAAATTCATCGTAGCAGACATAGTAGAGTGGCTTGATATAGTGGAAATGTACTTGTAGCGAATTGAAGTCGTGTTTCAATACGTACCACAGGCGGCGTCTCTCTGGCTTTCTAGGTACACATAATTGTATCTTATCTTGCACACGTGGATGTAGCAGTAGTCGCCTGGGAGGCGGAACGGTACTAATGGGGCGTGTCCTCTGCAAACGGGGGCTGCAAAATGACAGAGAATTAAATATGATAGATATTTTTTACAGTTTATAACGCGAAACTTATTGGTCAACCTATTTTTCAATTTTGTTAACAACGATCAGAAATGTCATTACGGACACCCACGAGATTATGGATACCCTCAATTTCCAGTCCCCCCGTCGACACGGCTATTGTTAAGAATCCAACTGGAATGGCCATAAGTTAACTAATATTCGCATCGTATTTTAAACCGTTAAAAGTATATTATTCACATTAGATATGATACAATTAATAAACACTAATACTCACATACGTATATTATAATAGGTACTGGGTAGTACTTGTTGTCTGAAAATAAAAAATATTATTAATTATTTATTCTTCATGCAACGATTTTATGTTAACATAACATATATACTAACGGGTTACTGGTACTGGAACTGGAACAAGTCGGTCTTTTCCTGGCAAGGGGATGAATCTGTTAACTGGCACAGGAACTGGCACGGGTAATGGAGGAGATGGCACAGGTACAGGTACGGGAACATTCCTTGGTGGTCCTGGGACCGGAACTGGAACAGGTACTGGTGGAGACGGTACAGGAACTGGTACGGGAACTTCCCTTTCTGGTCCAGGTACTGGTACAGGGCGTGGTACGGGTACGGGTATGAGTCTTGGTGGTGTAGGAACGGGGTATGGTCGGTTAACAGGGTATGGGACGGGTACCGGTCTTGGAACGGGGTAAGGCCTGGGTGGTCCGGGGATGACAACTGGAGGCGATGGTACAGGCACTGGTACGTGGATGACTATTGGCTTTCCAGGTACAGGGACTGGTACTGGGTAGGGCCTCGGTGGTCCGGGAATCACGATTGGTGGGGGGGCCTGAAAAATTACAAAATATAATATTTGCAGCACTAAAGTGACAGACGTACAAAACAAAAAAAATACATAGTGCACAAAAAAAAAACAAATTCATACGTGTCTTTATCAACTTACATGGATTGTATGGTGGTAGGGGTGGCACTGGTGGGAATGGTGGTAGTGGTGGTATTGGCTCTGAAAGTGTAACGCCACTTTTAGCATACAAATTTGATAATCATTTCTTAAATACTATAATTTAATATAAAATAACTTAGACCATAAGAAGCTGAAAATAATTAGTATGAACATGAAATCGTTATAATGAAGTAAATAAATCGAATACCTAAACCTGACGCTAGAAAATATCCTAAAATATTTCACGTTATTAAAATTTTGTTTTTAGCTTTAAAACTGTTAAATTATTTAACGGCGGACATTGCTTTAACTAGAGCTCTAGTAATACAAATAAATAATAATTTACCTGAAATCTGTGAAATAAAAACTGTTTCAACACATTGTTATGTAAATAGGTTTTATTTGGTGTGGTCTGTTTAGTTTTTAACTACTTGAATCAACTGTCTAACAGCTATACGTCTCTGCTACGATGAATTTGAGAATGAACTAATATTTGTGTATGGGGTGTGAAAGTAAAAAGTATTATGATCTATAGTTATTTATCAACTTACCGGGTCTAGGCTGATATCCTGAAATATAAATAATTATTAGTTTTTGTAGGTTAAAGTTCTTAATTTATTAAAATTATCCTTTATCAAACTTTAGTTACAGTAATTATTACTGACATTAATTTTTGAACGCTTTATTAAGTTATGATGGTATTATGGTTATGGTGTTATTTATGTCAGTCAATACGTTTATCTTAATTGTGTATGCATCTTACATGAGTGTGCGTGTAATTTCATTTATTTAATTTAATTGCCGAAGTAATTTCAAAGTTTATCTAATGCGCAAGATTCTGAAGATTAAGGCACTGGCAAGATGAAGTTATTATTGCGTCTTTCTGATAGCCATAAAGGCATTAAAGGACGCCTGTTTTTGGCTGATTGGATAATATAAGTCATACCACAGCCGTTGCAAGAGCGGCATTTGGGTGCAAGGAACCCGTTGGTGTTGAAACAGGCGCAGACCAAGCATCCACCGCCCAAGTTGTAGTCGTAGTACATCTGCCCTTCGTACGAACATCGCGTCCCTTTAAACAAAAGTTCAATATTTAAAGGAGAAGTCACATCGTTTTATTCACAAAATTTTTACAGGTCTAGTACGTTTTAGCTTGTGTCCCCCCCCCCAAGCTGTAAGTTTTGACGGAGCTGGGTTATTTTCGGTGGAGTACATGACTAGATTCAGGTTATTGGGCAAGTAAACTCGTCAGATAAACCATTCGCACAAGACGGCCACTCAGTCTAACCTTTGCACCATAAAGATGTTGTCACACTCACAAATTTCAGGTTAATTTAAGCACTTCAATAGTAAACATAGAACTTAATTACTTACATATCCTATCTAGACCACCGCCATAAAATCCGCCTGCGTTGGCACTTGCGCTAGCCTGCGCAAGAGCAGAAGCCTCGGCGAATCCGCTGCGTTCCTCTGTAACTTCTATCGTATCTTTTATTTGCTACTCAAAAAAAATGTTTAAAGAAGAAGCGAATTTATACAACAAACAATATTTAAGAATACAATTGTATACTGTCTGAAAGTTAAGCGAGTAGAACACATTTAAATGACACACTTAAAGTTTTTTACTTTGCGTTTGAAACCGTCAAAGTGTTTTATTTAAACACAACTTTGCTCTTAAATAAAGTATCAACTCGTGTTTGCAATGAAATCATTTTGATATTCCCCCTACACCCCTACTCCAAGTAGTGCAAAGTAGTTACCGCCGAGCGCCGAAGCGACGAAGCACGCCACCACCACCAAAGATCTCACCGTCCACATCTCGTCGGGACTGTAACTGTGCTCCTAAGTGAGCGGTGCTGGAACCACTCACAGAAGATGCCGGTCCACTCCCGTACATCTCTATTTAAAGCCGAACTCTTTACGCGTTGATAGGTAGACACAATCAATTTACTTATTAATATTATTTTTCACTACTAAATGAGCCGTGACGGTATAAATTCTAATATGGCGCGCGAATTAAATTTTTTATTGATTTATAACGCTCCGTATTGTACGCGAATTGTGTCAACGAATTTAATCGTTTCTGGAGGGCAGTTTTAATGTTAGAATCGTTTGATTTTATTATTATAATATAGTTTAAATATATTTGATTAAGGATAAACGTGTGGAGAGGCGTGAAAAGTTTTGTATCTTAGCGACGAGATTACGCTCTCGGACGGAACAAGTAAGCAACGGAGAGTTTTTTATGAAGAGGTATAGACAATATTTGAAAATTATCTGCGCGTTATCATTAATTAGGGATAACATAAGGTATCTACCTCAATATTACTTATCGTACAAATAAAAACACTTATCGGTTTAAAACGCGAAATATATTAAACTTGTTTGAAAATTATTACAGCACCACTAAAGTAATTTTAAAATACGTTTATATGTTTTTTTTATGTGTACTACTCGCGTAAACGAATACTGACAGTGTTTATCGTACTTGCTATGAAACACATTTAACTTTTTCTCAAACGTCCAATAGTTCTGGTTATTTGAATAAGAAGAAATATTTAAAAGAAGCGAACTCTTAGTGAAAGCTCAAACAAAGGCAAACAATGTCAGCTTTTCGCCGGAAGCTGCAGCTACCTGCCACGCGACCGGAACTCCGCCCCAATGACGCACGCGCTGTTACTGAGCTCTTTCTTTTAACTAGCCTATTAATTATGACCGAATGTAAAATTTCAAAATCCTTGTTATCTAAGCCATTTTTCATAAACGTACTTTATTTCATGACATGTAACGACTAAATTTTTAATTTTATTTTTAACATATAGGAATACAAACAAGCAAGGGGTTTTACTCGATGCTAGGTGAAATATAGTTATATAACATCGATCTATTTTAGTTTTGTATATTCGGAAATCCACAGACTGAAACATGATTTCCAGACAAAGTCCAACATGATTCAGAAAAAATAAATTGATTAGAAAAATGTTACACCCGGTGGGGAATCAACCCACAGGCCGTTGATTAATATTAGTCATACATTGCCACCGAGCCTGTATAGGTAAGAAACTTCGATGAAAACCTAAATACTGAACATACTCTATATATAGTATTTTATACAGTAAATCAACAGGGTAGTTCATATTCAAGATTGACTGATATTGTTCACAATTATACATAATGTGTATTAGATATGTAATATAAACCATTCAAGTACAATATAAGTAGTATGCACGAAACAAGCAAAGCAATGTCGTAAAAACAATACGCAGAGGATCTGTAGTTTGTATGAATTGCCTCTTAATTACATCAGGAAAATCTCAGGGAAAACAAAAGCCCTCCAACGAATGAGATGTCAGGACATGATTGATTGTCAGCGTGCAACCAAAATGGCGGGCGGATCCCGAAGCCGGTGACACTGTGATTTCGTTATAACGGGTCTATTATTTTTACAATGAAACAATCACATCATAGACCCTTCGTTTTCCCCTCTTTTTCTTAGGGAATTGTTTCGTTGTTACAATTAACAGTCAGACGATTGGTCATTTTGTTGGTCCTTTTCAGCCAGTGTGAACCAAATACCCAAGCCAATCAACCAATATTTAAATAAAACACTTTAACGAGTTAAAAGGCGAAATATATTAGTTTAACTTATTTGAATATTATTTTAACGACGTCTCCCCTTGATCACGGCTGCTACGAAGCATCCGAAACGTCGGGCATTGGTTAAAATATTTTCAAATAAGTTTAACTAATATATTTCGCGTTTTAAACCGTTATAGTGTTTAATTTAAATGTGGACTACTCGCGTTAACTACAGATAGTGTTAAGTCGTACATTAAATTTATTTATGAAATCTAGAATTGCTAGAATGTCTATTAATACTTGAAAAATTCATTAAAATAAAGTAGGTAGACAGAGGATAGACAGCCTATGGACAGAGGCTTTAGGCTATTAACAGTTTATTTTTAAATAATTTTTGCAAAACCACAAACATTTGTAGAGTAAAAAGCTACATAAAGCAGTTTGAAACGGGAAATGCATTCGTTGATATATCACCCGCCAGCCCCCGGCCTACGTGCTACTTCTTTAAAATAAACGCTCCGTTTTCTCGCAACTCGGCAAACATATATGTGCAGTATTTATTGTTTGCTTTGCTGTAACATATTTATGTGCTCACCCTTTAATCAAATCAATTATTTTATTTATTTTTAATTACCAAAAAAAGTTGGTATACTGTGATTACTAAAACTCTAACGAATTTACCAGTACATAGTCATTTTACATTAGAACAATAAGCATATTTGTTTAGTAGACATTAAATTGTTGTATTCTCAATTAAATAGTGTCGGTGGTTTTTATGTAACTGTCTAAAAGAAGGCTTAAGGTCAATTGTCAAAATTTTAAGAGTGACAGAAACCTAACTAACATGTTCTCTTTGATATCCACCGGCGCAGCGAGAATCAAATAACAAAAATAACACGTAATAAATCATGAATAAGTTATGATTATTTTAATATGTTTTAATGATTTATTGTTTTCTTTTTGTTTCAGGTAAGGTTTATCAGAAGCTGTAGTGTTGTTTAGGGTAAGGTCTTTGCAAATTCAATATCAATGGAAGCTGTTAAAAATGGTTAAAACCAAATTAGATAAGCTTATCAAACTCCTAGGAACAAAAGGAAGGCTTCGTTAACTTTATTTCTATAAAACTCATGATTCAATATTACAGTATCTAGGAATAAATATGACCAAACGGTGATTATTATAATTCCCAATACAAATAATTTACATCAATGTCCTTTAACAGAAAACAAGTGCAGAATTGTGTACCTTATTTTTTCATCAAATATGTTCATGGAGGTTTGATATCTAAAAAATCTTTCTATTGCCACTTTATTTTTATTTCCTGATCTTAGAATAAGTCATATTTGTTTATTAAACGAATAAAATATTGTATCCTAAATTAATAGTTCACCTTAGCTACGAATAAAGTTTAAAGCTACAATTTGTTAATGCAGATGTCTGTAACAGCTGCACCTCAGCTCCCTGAGGACCTAACTTGATAACTATGAGACCGTAAGAAAATTTCTAACCAAAGCGAAGCTAAATAACATAAATACCGCTATAAGGGTTTTGTGGAAATTGCTAGAACTAAATAATTTATTTTCTATCTATTCTGTTAAAATACAGTGTTAATAAAATAATAGCAAAGTATGAATTCTAAGCCCTGTCAGCCTATTTTGGCTTCGGATATTCGAAAATCGTCACACTGAAACAGAAACACGATTAAAGTCCACGTCTTTTTCATCAGCGAACCGTGGTTCATGATCTATTTAATATCCAGATATCTGGAACGAAACCAAGATTTGTCATCATTGCCACCATTACAGCAGAAGACCTGTCAAAACCCGTTCGTGTATGTTTACTCAATTGATTCAGCTAGTCTTATATAATTGAGTAAAGCCTATCGACCTATACGCCATTTTACGACTCAGTTACAGCGAAACCGACATACAAATTAGCTAATGAAGTTTCCGAGTCGGACGCACCTGGGTCCCGAAGCGCTCTCAGAACTTACAATGTACTAAAAACGTCTCTTTAGACGCGTACTGCTAATTGGGAAACTTTAAATACTGACTTTACTTAGCGATGTGTGACGTCGTCGTATTGTCGTGTTTTTTGTCTGGTGTCGACGACAATAGGGTTCGCGGTTTGGTGCTAAGAGTAATGACGGTATGATTTAATGCTGACGATCTTTGACAGTAGTTCCACAGCCACAGGAACAGGTTCATACATTAAAATTCAAACCCACAATCCTTCTTTATTATTAACTAGCTGTGTCTCCGAATTTGTCCACGTGAAATAGTTATTTTGGCCTTTAAAATTTGATTTTGCAAACCTCCTCTTCATCTTTATAGATTTAAGCTGTTACTCGCGACGGCGGTAATCTTCCAAGATATAATAAAAGGGAAATATTTCTCCCTTACAATTTTTTTGGGTATTTTAAAACGTTTTCGTAGCGTACGAATTGAAAACCCAAAATAATGATTTTTTTTTCACATTTTCCTCGATAAATTCTCTAACCAACACAAAAAGAATTATTCAATTCGAACCTGTAGTTCCCGAGATTTCAAACAAACAAACTAACTCGTTAGCTATATATATGAGTATTGATTACAAGCTCTGTATTAAAGATCCTGTCAAAGGTATAATAACCGAAAAAGGAAAATAGACATAGTAACAGTTGTTGGGACCAAATGTATGTATTGCGAAGATTTCAGCATCCAACCATAACTAAATAGGGTTTGTTTAAAAATTAAGCAGCTATTTTAAATTAACTTTTACGGAGAGAAAACCGCTCTTCGGAACTTTGCGATACGTTTTGTGAAGTTATATTTTGAACTTTATGTCTTTGGGCATAAAAGCGTTGAATTGATATTGAAAATTTAATTAGTGCTTATGGCTCCCATTGGAGTCTTACATCTTTTTATCGAATGTATATCCTTCATACGGTGTATAATGCAAATATTTAATATGATAGTTCACTTAATGGAAGGTAATGATAATATACCCATTGAACATCTTCGTAAGATCCGCTGCTTATCTATTTTGAATTTAGATATTTAGAGTTTGTTAGTGCCTAAAACAATAAAAATGTCTTGTGAAACATAATAGCTTAAAAATAAGCTAACTTCAGCTAGAGCGCAATGCCTGTGAGACTTCCGTTAAGTGTTTCAAGACGCGGACCTAAGGGCCACTGCACAACAATGTAACAAGCGCGCGATAGAAATAGTTCTTTTTAAAGAAGCGTTGTTTAATGATATTATAGACCAGTATGTGCTATGGTCAGCCTTAGAGATGAGTGTAAGGGATTAAATAGGGACAACAACTACAGGATCTATG